TTTAGGTTACGCTCGTCTCTGTTATCATCATTCTTGCTTTTTTCCGGTATTTGTTTTTCACAATGTGGAGCTGAACTTGTTCGCACATTGTTTGAAACTGAAACGCTCTTTTCCAGTCAGTCATCTCCATCAAGAGATTCGTTCATCACGAAACATTCCGATCTCTCAAAAGCACTTTCCCGTAGTCTCATTATCCTCTGTGATCCAATCACAATGACTTTCCCTGTTTTGAATTCCAACAGCAGTAACTTTTACCAAAAGATTCTCTGTTACTGTCACAACACATCTGTTCTAACGATCTTGTATTTACTAATATGTTTATTTGGAAGGTTCAAAAAACCGAAAAGAAAAATTTTAGTCCTTTCTGGGAATAACCATTTAAAAAATAAAAATTAAAAAATAACTGATGGAAGTGTAACACAGTGACTAGGATTACCCTCGATCATCACTGCAATCTCGTGCTATAGGCCACATTCCTGTCACCCCGAATAAGTACTATACTTGTACCATACTTGTCTTTGAAAGGTGGAAACACTGACTTGATAACTGTGTAGGCCAAATAAGCATTCATTCAGTCACCACCAATATGCTTATTGGAGTTGAATGGATGATGGATGGCTTAAAGACTGATCAATATCGATGTCCATGCTTTATGAAACAATCATTATACTTATCTTCTTAACTTTTTCCTTCTTTTTCTTTAACTTACTTCTAAACATCTTGAGGCGTTTTGAATAGATGCCAAGAATCCGAGAATGAATAGCAGGGAGGAATGCCCCGAGATCATACGTGACTCGGCCCCATATCTGCGCATCGATTGTTGATGTGGGGAGGTGCAGTCGTCAACCATATGCGACTCTGATCTCAGTGGAAGGCATGTTAAAAACGGTGGATTTTTTCTAGAAGCTGTTGATCATGTGATTACCATATAGATTTCTATCTTTCTGTGTATGTGTTATTGAGGCGTTTAGTGTAGTAAATTGTATATCAGAGTATCCTTGCAGGCTCTGAAGAAGGCGGTGCTGCCGAAACGTCGGCTACTGTTGTGTTGTATGTGTGTTTATGTATGGGAGTTAACGTATACTGTATAACAACCTGGAGGCGGCTGAGTGGGAAACAGCGCATTCTACTTACATCACCTGTATGAGTCGAAATACCGCTGGTCGTTGAGCGATCCGACTGGATGCTAATGAGCTCTTGATTTGTTCCTGTCGAGTGTAATAGTTACTCAGTTGGTTGCTCCTACTCCCTCTACGTACTCTTTGTGCATCACGTATTTTCAAAGAAACTTTGAGAAACATGTCTGATTATCGGATTGGTGGTGTTCGACGTGGGACTTAGTCATTAATCGCTCTTGTGCGTACACCGGTTGCCGTCAGGACGCATCATGTTTCTGTCGGCCCATCTCTTTTTCTACATCACGGCTTACACCACAACGTCGTCTTTCATGATTGTGCAAGCATTAGGAACCCTACTGCTAAAACCACTAGTCCGATTCTGAAATAGTTTGAGTAATAACAGCTTGCTAGGCCGATCGATAGGAATAACTCGTCGTCTTAGAATTATTCGTTTCATTTCACCTTATAACGTGCCGTTGGTTCGAACATTGAGTCGATTTTTCTATCTCTCAGTGAAATCTTTAAATTTTCATCATGAACCCGTTCTACATCTTTTCAAGCTTCTATGGTAAAACTGACTATTTCGAGCAGAACTAGTTATTTGTCACAGATGCTTGATGAATATTAAATCGTATCAACTAGTAGGACGCGTGTGGCGCAGTGCTTGGAGGCCCCACTGCAGCACACACGTGGAATCGATCTCCTCGCCCATGGCCCAGCAAACCTTACATCCCTCCGGGTTGGCAAATTGGTACCAGACTTGTCTGGGAGGAAAGCAGCACTGACTTGATACATCGGTAGGCCACTGCGAGTCATTGTAAAAGCCAGATATGTATTCGATCACCTCCAACGGTACTCAATGAAGTCGGATGCATGACGCATCCCTCAGGGATTGATCAACGCCGAGAGCCTTATCCTTTATATTTTGTCAAACAGTAATTTCACCTTAATTTTTCTTTTTCTTCTTTTTTTCCTGTCATTCAAATGGGTATATCGGAAGTGTCTGTAGGAGTTCTAGAAAGGCACTAGCACTATCTGAATTGACACTCTTTAATTTCAGTTATACGGGACCGTTAACGAAAACATTCTTCTTTCTAGGCTTAAAAAATGTCTTGACTCTGTGACTACATTCTATTCTCACAACAAATTTCACAAGTACTAGTGAAGAGCAACTCGGCTAGAAAGCGCTTATATTTCTCTCGATTATTCTCGATCTCGATAAGCTCGATTGGTCTAGTTCGTCAGCCACTGTCACTGTGCCAAACAGACCTGAGGCGGTATCTCCATCATAATGAGTTCGTCAACGGTTTAACATATCTACTTGAGCTCTACTTTGTGATGGCCTTTCGTTCATAAGCTAAAACGAAAATTATAAAAAACTTTATTCTGCTATCTTCGTCTTCTCCTTCCTCAGAGCTGAAATGGTCCCAGTCGATTGTTCCACAGTTCGTCATTCTTCCGGTAGGGGCCTAGCTGATGGCAGCGAGTCAAATCGAGAGGAGAACCGCCCAAATGAAGCAACTTCACTGCGCAGTGCTCATTTGTACTGGACGGTTGTTGACACTGAGTGTCTTCTGGTTTTCGTTTACTTTTCTCCGGATAATCCATCTTGCAGCCTGTCGGTATCATTGTCAGTCAGCACATAGCGTAACATTGTTCCAAAAACCGACCTTTCTTTCATGTCGGCGTGACTAATCAATATGTATCTTTTAATTCATAAGCTAACATGGGGTTGATAAGGCAACACTTTGGGAAAACCTTTTTTGGAAAACTTTTCTCCAGTTTTTGACTTTTTCATCCACAATAAACATTTAAAGTTACTTGAAAGCAGTTCTGGAGGTGTTTAGAGTTGTGTACGTAATTTACTATCAGCATCTATAGTGAGTTCTTGTCAATATCGGCTTTCTCCTGACAACACTCTTGTTTTGGTTTAACGGTGCTATATTATGCTTGACAATTTTTGAAGATGGGGTATGAAAATATTTATATAGGATATGTATGCTATAATGAATCAAATGAATCGTCTCAAGTTTAGAACTAGATCTATTACATAGGGTAACCAGTTCTTGAAATGCTTGACGGTTGTTGGTTAGAGAGAAACTTGTTCGTGAACGCTATTGAATGACGGTTTCATCATGAAGAGCTTTGAACTACATCATGTATTCTTGTATGGAACATAAAGAGAAAACATTTGAACAATGGTGCCCTTGCGAAGTAGAAGAGAATCTAAGGGAGGAGTGGTGGAAGGGGATGGACGAACTGAAAAACCATTATAAGAGTGCTGACCATGTAAATTCTTGTGCTTGTGCCAGTATTTCTGTTATTTACTGATTTTAAACGACTCGAAATGACATATTGTTCGGAAGCTTGCATTTTGCCATTCGATTCGCTTCCTCTCACTCGTCATCTACGAAAGTCATAGGATTTCTTTGGAGATGACTAGTAGGATATTTGGGCTCCTAAATGTAGTCCAGTGCCGGTCAAATCCATTTTCCCTGAAATTCTTAAATAGCCATGCTAGGAAGCTCCCAGATCTTCATCACAGCCAGACGCCATTCCTTATGGCTTAGAAGGAGCGTGCTGATTCCGCACGAATCTGCTACAAATCTCCCGAACCAGGAAGAATGTGTGGTTTAGTTCACCAAGCGTCGAGTCGAACCAGCATCTTGCGCATATCTAACGGTACTATTCTATTAACACGGTGTTGCAAAGCCGAATACTATAAAAGTGTTAGGAGAGAAAACTTATTTCGCTAAGATATGTTATTTTACCATTTTGAATTTTTTTAAGCATAAAGTTCATGCGAGTATATATGTATTGCCTATATCTTGGAAGAAATCATTGGCGAATAAGCCGTCTGCAAAATGGACATATTTCATCTATCCAGCAGCCAACTAGGCTGGCTGTTCATTCCACTATAGGTAGCACTACGGGAACCGGATGACTGGTATCTCGAATGAGGACAAGCCGATGGATCGTACACGTGGTACTTCAAACGAATCCCCGTTTTACAGATAGTTGCTACACTATCCAAACAAGATGCAATTTTTCATTACCTTTTACCATCTAATGCATAACTCCAGTAGGGATAATGTGGTGTTATCCATAATTGTAGAATTCTCCAAGGTTCATTTTTTCATTTTTATTTATTTTCATTTATTTATTTTATTTTACTTTGTTTTATTCGACCTGTTTTCGCGTCTACTCTGCGGATCCCATCACTTCTCATATTCTATTCGTTTTCTCGCATACATCATCCACAAAGGTTTTCTAACTTTTCCGTGCTGCTTCAGCTACTGCTTGAGGATTTTTCATTTTATCTTGAATGTCGTAGAAGGCTGATCGACTCTATTTTTCCTGGAGCCCTGAGATAGACGGGCTGAAGCGTTCCCAATTGGATTGCAGAGAGCGACTTTTTCGTGGACAAGTGCAATACCAATTTCCCGACCTCGAAAGGATGAGAGGCTTAGTGAGCTTGGAGTGGGATCGAACCACCACCGTGCTCATAATGGTCGCCATCACTACCACTGTGATATCCGCCTTTTTTGTGTATTTTACCTTTCAGCAAAGGAAACACCATTGATTGGAAAGTAACATACATTAAAAGTGCATCAATAAAATCGATACCACTTAGCAGGGTCTGAGAAGCTTATGTTGTTGTTAAGGACTTCTAGTTAATGAAAATATTTTGAATTTGTCAGATTGGTAGTATTCGCATGCAGTACTTTTGCTAGTAACAAGTAGTAAAGCAATTTTCTTTTTTTGCAACTACAGTAGCACATTCGTGCTAACGCTTACAACCTAACCGAGCTATTATGAACAGGATTCCACCTCTGAAATATCCTTTACAAATGGTAATGGGGATTCTTTAAAATTATTTCCTTGTGTGCAATTTTGCAATTTGCTTTAAAATGTTGGTTGTTAAAGCCTCATGACACGCTTAACGGTATAATGCTTATTTGCCGAATGTAAATGATTTCAAACTGCAGCGTACTTTGTAAAATAACTTAGCTGACTAATCGCTGAACGCATGGAATTTCAGATGCTTCGGCGATTTTTTGTATTGTTCACGTTTAACTCGATTTTGGCCCTCTCATCCGAGGACGAGTTGACCGTGCCGGCAGTGAGAGTTGTTCGACTTCAAGTTGATTATCCAAATGCGAGTATTCCAGATGTTCATGGCAATCATAAGTGAGTCGAAACATCTAGAATTGAGGCATTAATTAAGTATTCTAAAGTTATTTTATTCGTTTATTACGACGTCGTTCGCAGACAAAACCATCAAAATAATGTCTAACTTTTTCTTTGTTGCCTACTGTTTTCGCATGACGGTTGTGTGAAGTATGACCACAACGTTGCTGAGAGATTTTCAAAACACAGATTATTCCACAGAATACCCTGCAATGAAAAAGCAATAGGCGGTAAATAATGGGATGATTGCTGACGGCACTGATCATTAGAACTAGCTGAAAGACAGGCGAAACGAAGGACTCCCATGGTGTGGTGGTGAACGCGTTAGTCCCCGGAAAGGGTAACAACATGTTCGTTCTCCGCCACATAAAAGCTAAAACATAGTAAATAATAGGTTAGACATTGTGATTTTGTGACCAGCTTCAGCTTAACTGGTTTCAATATCGATTTATGCTTAGCAGACCGTTCCCATTGATGCGTAATTGTTGATGGCACCGTTGGTGTAAAAATCTGGCCGGGAGGAAGGTACAGCGAAGGCATTACTTGTCCAGGAGGTAACATATGAGCCTCCGGAAAGGGTAAATTTGTGTGCGAACTGGTCTGGGGTCTCAGTTTTCCGGATGTATCAGCATCATTGTGGTTGCTTCAAAACAAGATTTCACAAGACTGACTTTCCTTTAATCTCGTCATGACTAATCATGTATTATTCCTATTGGCAAACTAATACGACGTTGATAAAAACTTTATTCGACTAATGTTTCGGCGCGTTCGCTTTCTTCAGAGCCGGTTGGTCCAAGTCGATTGCTCACAGCTCTTTCTTCTTCCACTGAGGGCCTTTGCGATCGCATGGAATCGAATCCAGGATCGAGGTTACTTTATTCCAGCGGTGCTCCACTGAATTCCACTCGATGCGCTCACGAAGAAGTGTGGACCATCGACTCGGATCAACTCGGTCTTGAAGAAGCTGAAGGAGCCGAAACTTTAGCCAAATAAAGTTTTTCTTATCAAACTCGTGCTAGGTTATCATTGAAAAGATACATATCGAGGCAGCTACTAGAATGGAATATATTACCTCTTTTATGCAATGAAATTCGTGTATACACCTCCATTCAGGCTAATGAGGAGAGTTTTCTAATGTTGAAATACTATAAACACTGAAGATTTAGTCTCTTTCCAGCAAGTTCTCTTACACTTTGTGGTAGTTTGGTACTTTTCTTCTGATCCAGTGCGAATAAGCTTATGCTCCAACAGAACCATTGGAAAAGATCTCACCTTCTTTGCTTTTCAAAGCTGCTCTGTGTTTAACAAAGGATAAATGGCAAAGCCCTCGGCGTTGATCAATCCATATCAATAAGGAATACGCCATTCACTCCAGTTCATCAAGCACGTTTGAGGTGATTGAATGCGTATTATATCTGTGCTTCACAAGGACTCGCGATGACCTATCTATGTATCGAGTCAGTGCTGCTATGCTTCCAGACAAGTCTTGTAGCAATTTTCCGACCCCGGAAGGATCGAGAGCTTGGTGACCCTAGGGAGCGGCATCGATCCCATGTGTGTTACAGGGCGCTTCTAACCACTACGCTACAAGCACCATTTCTTACTTACTTACTTGATACTTGAACGGCCTGTCCTCACTGGTTGTTCGGGCCACAACGTAATCTCCATTTTTCGAAGATTTGCTAGTTAGGCCATTATGGTTTTCTGGAATTCCGAAATCAGTTTGGCCAAAGTCTGCCCCAGGTTTCATCACCATAGCTAGTCGCAGCCCTTGTGAATCGGAAGGAGATTTGCCACCATGAGTCTAATTTGATACCAGGACGGTGTTGGATTTTGGGATTGACTTACACTTAGCTAGGCTTCTTGATGGAAACGTCGGACTCCTTCTCAGCCTAGCTTGGAGACCCTGCCAGGGGTTGAATTCCTCCGCTGTACATCACAGCCCGACTCCCAGTAACACCTCCCAGCCACGACGAGGCGGTAAACCGTTAGGACGGCCCTTTCTTAATGCGTAACAAAAGGAAACTGCAATTCTTTTTTATAGCATGATTAACTTGGCTTTCCAGTAATGAATCTCCTGTTGGACATTACTGTTTAGAATCTATGCACACCCCATTACCACAGTGAGGCAGCAAAGAATTAGATGAGGACGGGAGGGGATTTCCAATATTCAGCAAATTTCTCTGTTCTGCGTAACAAACAAAAGATTGCGTTTCTACCGTTTGCTTCTATGTATGCGTTCTCGAAAAAAGTTTTTTTGTACACCTATCTTCGGGAGACGCCTATCATGTATAGAGAGCCAGTAAATGAATAAGAAAGGCGAAAGCGATTTCTAACACATAAATGGCTGCTTTCCATCTTGAAGTCTGCTCTACGGCTTCTTTTTGTAAAAGCTTTCCTTTGTTTTTATATGTGCTCTTACCTAAATTCCTTGTTTTAGATGGAATTCGATTATGCGGAATAGTGTGATAGCATCATTACGATTCGTCAACAAACACTGGTTAATTTGCGGAAATGGACCAAATGCCGAGAGGTTAGTGTTGTTCCAAACATTCATTATTTATCACTTCGTGACTTTTTTGGGTTAATAGACATTATACATCAAGGACCGGTAAAAAATGTTTTTTTTCCTCGTACTGAAAATGCTATTTGTTAAAAAGTGAAACGGATGAAACGTACGCCTTTCATCAACCCTTTAGGGACGTGTTATGCATCCGATTCCATTCGTAACATCGTGAAGATGACTGAATGCAAACTTGGCCTATAACACGATATCAAAGGGCTTCCAATTCATCCAGTCAGCGCTTTTATCCTCGCAGATAAGTCTGATACTCATTTGCGGACAGCAGAGGGGTGGAATGCTTGATTAGCCAATGGCGCAGAATCGTACAAGCGCCCATATCTGTATTACAGGGCTATAATCACCAAGCTACAAGAGGTTTATAAAAGAGAGATGTTAGAAGTCAGCATCGTCATTGCCATGTCTTCCGAAAGAGATATGTAAGATGACCACACGGAAGCTGAGGTATGACCCAAACTAGAAACCTTATTTGGGCTTTCGAACCAGCAAATACCCTTTCCGGCCATTACCTGTTATCCACCACACCAGCTAAGGCTCTTGCCTTGCCTTTCTTTCAACCATATTTCTATCGGTTCGGTTCTATCAGCAGTCACCCATCAGCGGAAATACATAGTACGTTCTATTTTATGGAACCTGCTTAAATATTATTTAAGTCTATTCAAGGCCGATCGTGACGGACTTTTTAAACAAAACTTTACCATTCGGACAGTTCAGGTCTGGCAACGATTGCGGAAAAGCTCAAGTGACCGGTGAGATCGTTGGCGACAATTACTACAGAATCAACGTCACGTTTATCGCTGAAAGGTTGCTACAGTAATTTTTTCTTCCAAGCTTTCTTATTTCTTTCTACTATTGAATTTTAATCAAACCTGAAACTTTTCTTGCTTTTATGCTGCTACGGTGTTGCCAACATAACGTTTTAGCGGATTTCACTTTCCTCAGAAGTCGTGAGAACTTGTAATGACATGAAAGTCAGTCGATCAGTTCCCCATGAGCGCAACTTTCCTTGCTCATGGTAACATCCTAAGCATAGGGTTTTATCAATACCACTTATTCACAGGATGCTCGAAGGGTTTAAAAGCTATAACGATGAAGGTTTAAAGAATTCTGCTTTCCTCGAAATCATCAGAATTACCGGCCAAAAGCATGTCGAAAATGGCTAGGTGGCCCGTTGCTATGTGATTTTGATTTTGGCTCACAATCTTAAAAATCTGTAAAAATGTCGGATTATTGAAAGCTAACATGAGGGGCGGATAGCACAGTGGTAGTAATGTCCGTTATCCCAAACGCGGTACTAGTTCGATTCTACTCCGGGGCACCCAGGCCTCTCATCCCTCCAGGGTCGGGAAATTGATGCCGGACTCATGTGGGAGAAAGTCACTCTCTGCACTCCATTTGGGAACGTTCCAGCCCGACTATCTCAGGACTCCGGGGAGAATTGCTCGATCATCATTCTACAGCAATCAAGATGTAATGGAAATCCTCAAGAACTAACCGATTGGAAGATCTTCGTGGGCAATGGATGCAAGAAAACGAATCAAACGTGAGAAGTGCTGGGATCTGTGCGGTAGACGTGAAGACTGATCAAATAAAATACAATAAAAAATAATACCATGCAGGCTGTACTTATTGAAAATTGTCCCAAAAAATTCCACCTGTTGTCTCTAGAAGACACCCAGGATGTATACGGATGACAGGAATAGGAAATGAGCCGATTTTCTATACGACTAGTGCCGAAATTTATCGTTTAAAGTGCATAATTTAGAGATCCTATAAGGAATGTGAAAGTTGAAGCAACGTCCACCGTATTCGCGGTTTGTCAAATCGGTCTTAAAGGCGGCATTTTCCAGTACACCAACGCACTAAAGGTACATCTTCAAAGTACTTTTCTGACCAGGAATTCATCATAAAAACTGCTTAGACCTCGAAATTTTTTTTGTATGGACTGCAGACCTTCACATCATTTAGAAATTGTCATTACTTCTAACAGTGGTGATTTAAGTTGTAGCGCTCATGCTCATTTGCGTGATAAATTTTGTTTTAGGCTCTTGGAAAACCATCTGCAATGCTGTCTTTCGACGAGGCTTATTTTTGTTACAAAGGCGCCGTATTAGCGGATGGCGATAAATGTCGTAAGGAGTTCAAACTACGTGACCACCCGATCATAGAACGTGCTCCAATCGAAGTCGATCGACTAATCGCCCTCTAATCTCACGGTCTACGACTAATCGATAATCATTGCAGCTGCTAGTGGGCTGTATGGTGTCGCATGTCTCTAATCAGATACTCCACGATGACTATAAATACCCGATGGTGTTTCTTTTTGAATTCTGTTGTCTTTCTTAAGTCCCGTCTTTCCGTCATATTTTTGTCTTTACATGTTCTTGTGATTGAAATGAACTCTTGAAGATCTTTACTTCAACTAGAAGTGTCCGAGGATTGTGCGCAAGCATATGGGCACATGGTGTTGGTAGCACACAGATGACACTCACCTCTAACAGATTTCATTTTGCAATTGGTGGACTTTCTAATCCAGATGGAAATAGTATAACCTGCAGCAGGTAATATCTATTGACTTAATTTCGGACACACTAGAGATTTACCACCACTATTACGACTAACTAGCTAGGAATTCCTAACTAGTAAGTTGAAAACTGCTCACTGGTGTGGGGGAGCTAACCTTCTGTATCAGGCCTATATTAAGAGATTACATCTTTTCAATAGAGTGCCCAGCTAGGTAGAACTTGGTAGTCACAGAACTAAAAAGGTACGTCACACTCCCTCTTTTTCTAAAGTGTCAGTCAGATGGACATTTCTGGAGCATGAAACTAACGAGCTACTGGTACACTGTTGATTTACTTAATGAGTAACAGGGTCACAAATGATAAAAACAGAGTTGTAATGTAGTAAAAGTTAGCCGTGAAGGTAAGGATACGGTGGAAAAGTTAAAGCACAGTGCTCATGATGCTAATGAAGCCGGATTAGATGCTCGTGCTTGATGATGAAATCCGAAGACGCAGGATGTGGACATAACCCGAAGCATAACTTGTGAAAAATTGGGGCTGGTGCAGATCGGTTTGTATTTAATCTGATGGTATTAACAAATTTACTATCAACTGATCTTACTACAGAACTACTGATTTACTCGAATGAGGTGGAGTCAGTGACCATTCTGGTATCCTGTCACTACGTTGCATCGTCTGAGACAGTAACTAAATGCAATAAACACCAGTGATAACACTGTGTGTAACTAAAAATTCAGTAGAATGAAAACGTTTCAGTCCATCAATGGTACACCGCAGAAAATTTAGGACTTTGTGCTTCGGGTTCTTTCTTCAACACCAGATCGGATACGTGCGAGCCATGCTCTCGTGGTTATTATCAACCTCAACCTGGTCTGAACACATGCATCAGATGTCCGGATGAATTGACGACAGCTTCTAAAGGAGCTGTGAATGAAAGCTATTGCATTCGTAAGTTTAGTTCCCTTGATAGCTTAACGTGTCTGTGATACGGAATAGTGCTATAGTCAAGAACACTGAGGAAACTACGTGCACCTGTAATTTTTCTCAAAGATTTACTAGGTTGCTCGAAATTAATAAGCGATTTTAACTTGCATTCTACAAGTGACATTAATCAGGTCATCTTATCAATCAGGGTGGAAAGCGCTAGAATCTTGCCTACAGGAAGCAAATCGGTTTCTTCCGTTTCCATAAAACACTGGAATTCTACAGTTGCCGAAGTCGTCGAAAGCAGTTTTTGCTCAGCCTGATTTTTGGGCCATATCTCCCACAGGAATGTGCCAGAACAAATTTTTGGAAACCAACGTCGCACTGTGCGTTAATTAATACTACCTTGGCTCACACCTCGTTAGTATTTCCAGCCGCACTGGATACGCTTGAGCTTGAATGCGCAAAAGCAATTTTACCTAAATTGTTATTCTAACGTCTTTATTTCTAAGCTTTAAAATTTGTCAGAATACAAATAATATTCCAGTTCAACTATATTTTTGAAATTATTGCTGAAACATAGGCATAGAAACATGAACATTGTTTAAGTTGTATTGGTTCCCGAAAACGTAATACTTCCACTTCATGGTTATTGGATTTTGTTGGAAGAATATCTTACGTTCTTATCTACTCGTTCCCTATCGTTTACAGTTCAGTTGCAGCTGAACGATGTTCCTGGGTAATAACGGTTTAGAGCCTCAGTAGTGAAGTGGTGTTTCCGTGAAGAAGAGGTTTACAGTCTCATCCAGATCGTCCAAGCTGCAAAGGAACTCAACCTTTTTTTCACAGTCCCACTAACATAAAGAAACCAAAATTTGCCTCCACTCTGAGAGAAGCCTGCTGAAAAATTGGGAAAATCATCCTGAGATCCATAATACTAAGTGATTGCTTGTGGTATAGGAAAACGAACGGCCAGACTGCAATGGATATTACGAGGCTCTATAGAATTTTGTTTTTAACAACACAGTTCTTTTTGAAAAAGGTTTCTTAGTTACAAAAGTATTCCCGGAATAAAGAGTGTTGGAATATTATTAGACTTTCTAATATTTAAAATAAACAACGATAAATATTTGGTTTTAGCTGTTTGTCCAGCTGGTTTCTTCTTCGACTATGCGTCACGAATTTGTGAACCATGCAGTCTGAGAGGTTATCAACCCGAAAGTGGTCTTGATCGGTATCACTTGTTTTCTTTTCCTGTTACGAAATAGAAAGAACATAACTTTAAAAGTATAATGAGTCCCATACTGAGTAGGGTAATGGTTTTATTTGTAGAAGCATGCATTCAGATGCATTCCTTGTCCATCGTCAACGGTACCGCTTTACCTGAACTCGACAAGGATTGAACACTGTTTAGGTAGTGATAGTGCTCTTTAACTGCATCGGCTCATAAAAAACGTACAATCGAAGCAAACGTTTGCTTAAATCAAAAAATTTTCGTTGAGAAGAGAACTACTAAGCTGACAGAAGTTTGAAGAGTCGGCTTCAAAGGAAACTACGATTGTATCAGTATTGATTTAGGATTCCTTTCTAAGTCTTTTCTTCTGAAGAATCTCTTCATCTTCATCAATGACTGGTTCATTTTTCGACAACATATTTTCAGCTTAGAAAGTTGTGTAATGCCTGAATTGGAGCGGATCATACTGAACTAAATACGGTATTATACCAACCAAATTGTGGTCAGCTGCGCTGATCCGTCGAAATCCCAATGCGTGAGAACAATTTTCCATCGATTGATGTGACGGACGATCCACTCCGTTTTTGTTACTGAGAATCTGGAAATCGAAGAATTTCACTAGTTGGAAGTTTGCACTTTTTTTTGAAACTGTCACGTCCTGTTTGGGATTTCAACGAATGATAATGGCTCCATGGTGAAGTGCAAAGGAAAATTGGGTGTGAACAGTTTTTTTCCGCTTGTGAAAGTGTTTGTATCCTATTAGTTATATTTTATGACAAAATACAATTTGAAAAGGTTTAGGCTTCCATTCACAATCTTTCGGTAATAAAATTTATGGTCGGAACATTGAAGAACTTGGGATGACCTGGCTAAAAACTAGTCAATAGGCATCTAATAGACGGGGCGAATAAACGTCTCATCTCTTATCGCTACGCCTTCTAACAAGTTGTATTGCTATTTTTGTTAGAATAATGCTAATTGCTTTTGTTTTGAAGAAAAATGTTCTCCTGGTTGGCAGCGATCCCTTGATGGTAGTCGTTGTGAGCCATGTGCCTTGGGTTCATTTAAATCGAAGGAGGACTCCGTGTGTATGCTCTGCCCTAGCGGATGGACGACACTCAACAAAGCTTCCAAGCACCTGAATGATTGCTCAATCAGTTAGTTACTTTAATCGACCATCGTAATTTATTTTCCTTTAGTTCACATTACCGCATCGGATTTTATTCAGTTGGTTTTAAGAATATTAGTGGTCTTCATCAAGTAGAAGTTTGTTGAGACAATTGGATTTAGCTAAAACTGATATATTCTTATAAAGCAGTTCTATGCTACTGTTTTATATGTATCATAGAAATTCTTGACAAGAAAACTGTTGACTTCGTCTTCAATTTTTATTTACTGCTTACTAATTTGTACTACAATCCCGTTAACGGGTGATCGGTGATAGCGCCTATAGGTCAATAACACGGCAGAGAGACAGGCGAAACGAAGGATCCCCATAGTGTGGTAGTGAATGCATTACTCCCCGGAAAGGAGATTAACGCGTTCGTTTCTCACCGGAGACACCTGCGGTCGGAGTTTTGCAAATATCTCAGCATCGTTGTGGTTGTATTTCATGCAACATCCTTCCATGAAAGTTGTAGTAGGCAAAAAATAAAAATTAAAGACTTCAACTACAGATGTGATTTCAGCTACAGCCTAAGCTTAACTGGATTCAATGCCGATGTAGGCTCACCAGATCAATTCCTCTGTTGGGTGACCACTGATGGCACTGATCGATAAAATTTTACGTTCATCATATTTTCTTTTAGAAACAAAGAGAATTATTTCTTCAGTGATTTGTGTAGTCTCGTACTGTTCTAGTTTTACTTTTTATCTCCTTGTATAATCTCTTCATGATACAAAACGTATTTAGCTTTCAGTTAAAAACTTCATTTGTAGAGATTTGCTATCCCGGCACATTCTTGAACATGTCAACTCTTCAGTGCTACCCTTGTGATTATGGTCTTTACATGGATGAATACGATGGACGAATCTGTAAACTTTGTCCGATTAGCACAACGACTTATCAGCTAGGTATGTTAGTAACAGATATTGATCTGTCTATCAACTAGCTTTATTAGGCTTTGCTTTCTATGATACATTAAATAACTGGCGCTTCTGATATGAAACTGCAGCTTCATGGAAGCTCCTAGCTATAGAAAGGTGAAGAAGAAACGTGCTTGAACATTTGAGTCCTAGTGAAGGTTTTGAAAAAGAATTGAGAAAATGTGTGCCATGCGATGTGAAGTAATGTGTTCATCTCCAAGTTCGAGTAAACAAACATGTCCTTCCAAAATCCAGCTAAAGTAAACAAATGCCACAGCGAAGATCGGCAGAAAATCCATACCAACTATGTCTCCTGAGAGTTTAAAAATTGCTGACACACTTATTGAAAGTGTGTTACTCATGATGTCCATGAAATGGGAGCTAACTAGAACGTGAAGTTTTTACCGACACTATACAAGTCAGAGATGATAGGTGAAGAAGTAAGCGTGGAAGCTTTTGGTGACTGGAGTACAACAAGCTTTTATGTGACAAGTAGCCCTTCAAAAACACCAGTACCGTTTCAGGTTTTTCAAAATCTTCAAATTAGTGAAACAACCTTTAAACACATGAATGCTCAAAATAAAAAAGTGAAACGTTGAGGACTGGTTTTTTTTCACGAACCAACATTTCGTTCGAATACAAGGGGGCGCTCTCGGAACTTTTTTAGACAGAATTCGTTTGTAGGGTCAAATTCGATTACCCAATGTAAATCCACCAATCAGTGCAAGTCTGGTGCACATGGCTGCCACTGGCTAGCCGCTTGTGTGGACCTTCCTGACGACGACCACAGACCAAGGTTTTTCTTTCGGTTTCGAAGAAAACTAAACTATTACAAAAACGTCTTTAATATCAAAATAGAATCTAGTGGTGAAAAACCCGCCTCCTCGATCACATTCTTGTTTTCTTTCGTTCGTTGTAAGTAATAACAGCCTACTTTTTAAGTTCAGCTACGTTTTATCATTGATTTCTTAGAGTTTTGGTGAAATGCATCTTAAATGGCTTAAAATAGCTAAACTGAGTTTTTTTAAGGTATTCATGCAAGTGCAAGCCAGGTTATGTTGGAAATGGCATTCAATGTACAGGTAGGCAGTATATTTATGGGCAACAGAAACAAGTGATTACTCTGTTAACACTGAAATAAATGGGTGCAAGATATTCCATCCTTTAAAAAATGACAGCGAGGTGGTGTTTTCATAAGCTTCTTTGGTTCAATCAATGATTCTGTGGAAACATTTGAAGGGCTTATGTTAAAAATGCATGATTGGAAATTTTTGTTCATCTTTACAAGCGGCACTGTCTTCAGTGGTCAAAATCCTATTTTCCTGCAAGTTCTTTTTTCCGTGTTCACTGTGGAATGTCCTTAGTTCGCAACTGCAACAAAGCTGTACTGACAGTTGCCGGTTGCATGTGGAAAGTTGTAGTCGTGACAGCTCCTTCAAAGACGGCGGTGATTTCTGACATAAGCATTCTTCTCGCTGACCACATAGGGTGGAAATAACGAAATGCGTTTTGGGTAACCTTACACTAATGAAGCGGTAAAACAAAGAATAAGAAGTAATTAAGGCTACCTACATCAAAAATCTAAGGGAGGCGTGTGGCACAGTGGTCGGAGGCTCTCCGTAACACACACATAAGATCGATCCCCACGCAACTGGTCCATCAACCCTTGCATCCCTCGGGGTTCGGCAAATTGGTACCAGACTTCTCTGGAAGGGCAAAGCACTGACTAGATACATCGGTATTCAAGGATTGATTAATGCGGAGAGCTTTATCCCTTTATCCTCTTACGTTGAAAATCAAGCTCTCCTAGAAAACGGGTCAAAACTTTTGCGAGCGTAGGAATTTTCAAAGGATTCATTTTAGACGCATGTGAAGGTCTTTGCCATAATGGTGCGACATGTTTGAAGACTGGTAGAGGTGAGCCACACTGCGTGTGCGAGCCAGGATTTACTGGACGACGTTGCAGCAGCAGAATATGATTTGATGGAGCTCGAATACTTCTTCGACACAACAAGAAAATCATAAGGATAGCTTGTTCTATTTTTCTTCACTGACACATAGTGTGTTTTGTCGTGTCATTTGATTTCAACTTATGGTGGTGTTCACACTCAAGAAATATAAACATAATTGGAAATATAGGAAACTGTATATCACTTCAAATGCTGTTATTTTTACCCAACACTTGTTACTCTGACAAATTCAACACCTGGATTTTAAAATAGATTTAAACTTTATTTTTCCTTATCAATAAACTATCGACTTCGTGAAAAATTTAAAGCATGAGAAACCAAGAAAGAAAAGGAAAGAAAACACTGGAGAGATACCATCGCATGAAAGAAAAATGAAGCTTATTTATAGCTGTTGCCAAGAAGTTCTAGTTTTTCTCAAACTTTATGTCTACTTTCATATTTCCACAGGTTGATTACCATTCTTCCCAAGCTTCTTTCCTTGTTCATTAAGTACTTTTTGTCTTGCGTTTTTTTCGCGATAAAGAAGCCGTGTTTGGTGTAGTGGTTAAGATCGGTCCTTGCTTCGATCCCGCGCTCCAAGGAAACCGAGTCCTACCTCCTTCTGAGTTCAGTGAATCGCTACCAGAGTTCTAGCTAATGATGAAGACACTAACTCGATTTATTGGTGGAGTACGCCAGCCATAGTATAGACCAGATATAAATCACCTTTACCATGCTACGAGTGGATTCTGATGTGTGTTACGTTCCTAAGAAGTTAAGCAGTAGCGAACGTTCTTCATACATTTGTTGAAGTGTTCCTTTATAGAGCTTAGAGTCCACTCCTTAGATAGTACTAATGATTAAGTGTTTAAATCAAATGTTGTAACTTCCATTTCTGGTTGTAAAAATGTTGTTAGACCTCAGAGAACAGATTAGTGAGCTTCTCATAAAAATTTAACTTATATTCCAGATATGTTACAAAACACTAAACCGTTTTTAAGGCGTATCTTATTTCAAGTTGAAATTTCGCTCTTTAAAATTGAAAAATTAAAATATATAATAACGAAGTTGCACTTGTAAACATGCGTAGGTATAAATATAAAGTAGTATAAGCAATTACAATGATGTTCCGATATTTGCAACACTCCGCATGGCAGGTGTCTGTGGTGGGGAACGAACGCGCTATTACCCTTTCCGGGGGCTAACGCATTCATCACCTCATCATGCGGATCCTTCGTTTCGCCTGTCTCTCGGTTAGTGCTATCGATCAACGCCATCAGCAATCGACCCTCAATGGAATTGATCTGGGGAGCCAAAAATCGGCAATGAACCCAGTTAAGCTGGGGATGTAGTCGAAATCACAATGCTAACTTTTATCTTCTGCCTATTAAAATTTTTTATGGGAGATATCATGCGTGATACAACTACAATGATGCTGAAATATTTGCAAAACACCGGGCCGGAGGTGTCTGCGGTGAGGAACGAACGCGCTTTTACCCCTTCTGGAGGTTAACGCTCTCATCAACACAATATGTGGGTCCCTTGTTTCGCCAGTATACACAATTGTTTTAAATGCGAATACAATATAGGTGTCATTAAAAAAGGTGAGCATTCTGTAATTACAATTATTATGATTTCGTTATCACTTACCGTTATCCATCTTTATTTTGAGTAATGGAAGAAAAGGTTCCAGTAAGAGCTAAGAATCAACGTGATAAAGACCCGCCCTGAAACACTACTTATGTGGCCCAATCCAATGGAGTCTGAACACTTAGATTCGGCTCATCGTAGTGTAGCTAACGTCACTGCTATTCTTTCGCTCCATGTGCGCAGCTTAGACTGCGCATGAACAATTTCCGTATTTTGTGCAAAATGGGTTTTCTTGGAAGAATACCTAAACACCTGTGTGAGACCATTTTCAGGTCTTTATCGGAAGTATTTGCTGGTTTTAAGAATCTTCATAACTTTTATACAACGACTCATCTGCATCTCCAGTAATCATACTTTTAATCACCAAATAATTCGATGGATCAGTGAGACAGAAATGAGGACCATAAGGATAAAGAATAAAGCTCTCGGCATTGATCACTGTAGGTAGACTCCACTATAGATCAATGCATACGTGACTGCGCCTAGTTTCTTGCGGCTTGCATTGAAAAATTCTTCTGAAAAAAGTTACTCGTTGATTATTAAGTGTACAGAAGAACCCGTCACGGAACACATCTAGCACATCTGTGTTGGATAAGCTATCGATTGCAGACAAAAATACGGCATATGAATCTATTGCGATGAGATATGTAGGAATAAAGGATAAAGTTGTTGGCGTTGATCAATAATCCCTGAGGGATGCGCTATGCATTCGACTTCATTAAGCATCGTTGAAGGTGATTGAATGCATATCTGGTCTTTACAATGACTCGCGGTAGGCTACTGATGCATCGAGCCAATGCTGCTATCCTCCCAGACAAGTCTGATACCAATTTGCCGACCCCGGAGGGATGGAGGGCTTGGTGGGCCATAGGCGTGGGGATAGCTTCCACGTGTGCGATGCCTCCAATCACTGCGCCACGCTCGCCATTAATGAGGAGCATGGAACTATTATTCTGGAATCTTCATGAAAATTTTCTTCCAGTGCAGAAGTAGTTCGTTTATCTGATTCTTCAACATGGTACATGCTCTAGCTCCAGGCCTGAACAGGCAGAAACAGCAGATTTGCAAAGCTCATTAAAACACGGAGAATATGGCTAAGAACAAAATGAACGTCCTCTTCTGTGCTTAATTTTTGGGTTGTGCGATTCTTTTCCATTTAATGGAAACATTAGTGTTATTCGAATGATCACTCAGCATCATCGAAGGAAAGGAAAAGCCTGTCGTGTGCAAGAAGAAGAATTCTAAAGTTCCAACTTTCCTTGACGATCAAGTGACGAAGGTGAAGCTTTACACCTCCATAGGGAAGAAACAAGAAGTATTATAAAAAGAAGTAAAATAAGAAGTACTGCTACGCATTTCATTGCGGTGCACACAAAACGAAATGTTTTCACTATTAAACAAATGTGTGTACAAAGAAAACCATTGTGCTCAGCATTTGGAGAGAAATCTTTGGAAGAGAATAGTAGCTGGGTCTAAATCGGTATGCGGAAAGATTCGGTGTGATATTAAGAGCAAGTTAAGGAAAAAGTTTGAAGATCTATCACTCCGATCAAAAATGTCAAATGAAAGGACCACCGCTGGTCAAGCCCCAAGTAAAAGCCATGAAATAGACTGCGCATCAAGAACATCCAGAGTTACTGTGCTAGGAGGTATAACGCTTCCGGAAAATGTGCGTTCCTTGTTAGAATTGGGTCCGAGTTTTGCACCTAGTCAACCCATTTCTAAACCAATCCTGCTCAGGATCACGCGTAGTCTGCATGAACTTCAAGATCAGCTACGTTACAGGGTTAGGCTAGAAAGGTTAGCTAAAGTAGTATCAAGGGGAGAACTGCCACCAATACCCTTTCCCCGAACTTTCTTTAAACATGAGCTACCAAATAGCGATATTGACCCTACACTTCGTTTATTTTCCGACGAAATTCTCCGCATACTTAATCACTACCAAGAACGAAAAAGAAGCTCCAACCTCACAAACCAACAAAAATGTGGTATGCGCCAGGTTAGAGAGCTTTTGAATTTAAAATCTATTAGACTTTCTACTAATGATAAAGGCGGAGAATTTGTAGTTCTTCCTAGTCAGTTGGATATTAGGATAACAGAGGAGCACCTCAGTGATGCTTCTTTCTATCGAACATCCTCTGAAAAGGAATAAAGAAATCAATACCGAAAATTGAATCAAAAATGGGTCAGCACGGCAAAGGCTGCGGGTTTAGAGCCTTCAGTTATTTCTCGACTTAAGAACGAACACCCGATTTGCGCTGTCCTTTACTTGCTTATTAAAACACATAAGCTTACTTTAACTGATGATATTACACCAACGAACCCATCATCACTTAAAGTTAGACCTATCATCAGTTGTATGGGAGGACCAACGGATAGAATAACGTGGTTCCTAAACCTTATCCTAACACAGCTGCTAAAATTCATTCCAACCCATCTACCTAACACCAAAATATTTCTGGATCACCTAAGGCGCGCGCAACCAAACGGCACGCATATAATGGAGTCATTCGATGTTAGTTCACTTTATATCAACGTGTCCAATGACTTCGCAATGCAAGCCATTCTCGAGTTGCTCGTAGAGCATGAAACGAAAATAAAAATGCACGGCTTGTCGATTGCGCAACTAATGACCCTCTTAAAACAGTGTCTTAGTAGGTGGTCTGGAAAATATTTTGCACAAATTAGAGGGCTGGCGATGAAGCAGCGTTTAGCACCAAGCCTTGCCATCGCTTTCATGTCTAAGGTGGAAGCTCTAGTTCTCGATCACCGACCCTTACTCTACTGTCGATACATAGACGACTCCTTCATCGTCTGTTCCACACAAGAACAGATGGATGAGTGCTTTGAATTATTAAACCGACAGTCAGAGTATATAGAATTTACACGAGAAAAACCTACCGAGAACTGGCTTCCATTCTTAAACATCCAAATAAAGCTCTCAGTAAGTGGCTATGTAACAAAATGGTACCGCAAGCCAAGTAGTAAAAACATTCTAGTTCACTGCCTCTCCTCTCATCTTTCACACATGAAAAAAGCACTTATCAAAAATATGTATCGTACGGCTAAAAATGTGTGTACAGGTGAAGAGGAAAGGCAGGAATCGCAAAACCTGGCGCGAAAAATTGCCATTTCCAATGGCTACGAAGTAGAAGCCACTCGGGTTAGACGAAAACGTTGGGTAGTTTTCCAAAATAATATTTCAGACGGAAGTAGGATCCCCTTTAAGCTGCCCTTCATGTCAAATGAAGTAAGTCACGCCATCAAAAAGTGCTTAAGAAAAAGTGGTCTTGAAAATTATGTAACGATTATTGACATCCCACCCAGTACCCTACGCTGCCAGTTAGTTCGAAACCGTCTCTACGATTGTTTGTGCAGCT